GGGTTCTGAGATATAAAAAAAAGATTATTCTTAGGGGAAGATTTCAAGGGACTGCAAAAATAAAAAATACGGGTCCCCTAAATTTGTCTTAAGAATATTGACCAAATTTTGTTGCATTAATTTCGGGACACCCTATGTAAATTGACATAAAAATATATTTTAATGTCATATAGGTAGATAGAGATATCATATTCATAACGCCTTGAAATTACGTATATAAAGCGATGCTTGGTCACTGTGATGCTCTACCTATCTAAAATAAATATCAATTATCACTCGGCCCGAGTTCTACCACCAAATAATCACATAATCCATAACATACCTATACTCGAATATTCTATTATTAATAAAATCAGTTGAAAAGCGTCCAATTTCAGAGTTTCAAGATCCCGAAATCAAATTTTTTGTATTAGCAGGCACAGCAGTGTTGCCAGATTTATAGAATCAAATATCGGATGGAAATCGAAACACTATCGTATATTATCGCACGCATTATCTTATTAATTTGTTATTGTATACCCAGTTAATGAAGACTAAAATAAATAAAAGAAAATATGAACAATATATTTTTAAAAAAATTGTGCAAAAAGTACCTATAAGTACATAGTACAAATAACTCATACCTACTTTCTATTTTCAAAACAACCACTGTGGTTAATAATTCTTATGGGAAGGCAGACTGAGGAAAAAATTGTTGTTAAAATATCAGTAAGCAATTATAACTGAAGAAAGATGTTAATAAATTACAAATTGTGTAAAAAACTTATTTATTCGTCATTAGCAACATGTTCACACTCACACACAAACTTTTACACAAAAATAAACGTTAGCTTCATAATATGTATAAATGTAATAAATGTTTCTCTATCTGTATTGACGTCCGATTTATATCAAAATTTCAACAGATTACGAATTTTGTTAAGAAACAAACAAAAACAATTCCGCAATATCAAATATGTATTATATTTATGTTTACAATAAGTTAACTAAAAATTTTACTTACAAATTACCGTATTTTTTAATATTATGGTACATGTACGAGAATATCGTATACAATAAGTTAATTTAATTTTTAAATTTAATTTCTTTAAAAATAATGTTTTATTTTTTATTTATTTTTTTAATAATAATAATTTAATTTTAATTAAATTTTAAGTTAATTTTGTTGTCAAAAATAATCGTACACCTGGCAACACTGAAGCTCAGAGACTGGCAAACTTAATGCAATTAGAACTGAATCAATTTTCTTTTAGGTGATAGTGACGTCACAATGGTCGCCGTTTTTTACAACAAAACCATTACTTTCATTCAGTACTGGACACCCTGGACATTCGCTTGCTTGAAAAGTAGGTATGTACCTACAAGATGGTGTAGTGAGTGGAAGCGTAAAATATACGTATACGTACCTACATGCAAATATTATGTAGGTAAAGATTTCAGCAATATTTACCGTTTTAAAGTAGGCAACCAACTGTACAGCCAGTTGATCAGATTATTTAAACATTAAAATCACTTATTGCAATATATTTACTGAAATATTGCAGATAGGATCGTGTTGGAATAGTTCATTTCGTTAGTTTGTTTAGAAATATAAAACTGACTAAGGTATCTATTCTAAAGTCCTTAAAACTTTGAAATTAGTTTTAAAAGTTCTGCAAAATGAGACAAATTTAAGTGTGTTTTATTTTATTTAAAGTTATTCAAATTAATTAAAATTAAAACATTTTTTTTACCTGGAAATCCCATCAAATGAAGTGCAAAAGATACCTATCTAACTTCCTAGACAATTAATTACGTCTGATAATATTGTGAGAAACAACTACTTCATGGGCTACATGCCCTAATTAGCATTGAATTATACCACCGATATCTAGTAAATAGCTAATTAATAATTATCTAAAATAAAAATTAGAAATGACATAAAATATATTAAATACGATAACACATAAGTACCTGCCACATTGAAATTATTTAATAATGTAATCTAAAGAAATATCTTGTATTTGTGCCGTAGACCAACACGCCAAAATAGCCACGAGTTAAGATCTCCAATATATCTGCTTTTTCAAGTAACATCCTAAAGCAAATATGTTGGTTTAATTTTCTGCATGTCGATAAACTTGACAAAATGAAAAAGAAAATTTTGTGGTGCATGTCTGGGATATCATGGAAAAAAACTGAATTCAACAGTTGAATGATTTTCTACCTCTACATAGTTAAAGATAGGAACTGCAAATAATGATAATGATAACAGTAAGAATGTACATTTTTTATTAATGACATAACTGTTTCTCATCTAATACAGCTATTTTTTTGGATGACTTAGAAGTTCTACAGTATTTTTTTTATTTTTCAATGCAAAGTAAAATAATTGATAATTTTTCCCTCAAATTTGGTTCACATTTCGAATTTTGGCAGACATACAATAATCTATAGTATTATTCTAGTGACCTTCAAAAAAATTATTATATTATTATATTTAAAATGTTAATATGAAAAAGTAGACGTTGACACACTGTATATTTTGAATATCTAGACAACCAATTAAGCTTATGTTTCGCTGCGTTAACTTATAAATACGTCAACTACTCGGAAACTGAATATTTTGACTTATTTTGAAAATTCAGTCATTTTCTAATTTCTTAAAAAAAATAGGTCCCACTTTACAGTTACGGTTTTTTTAAACTTTAAAATGAGTTTACCATAAGTTCAATAACCCGAAAATAAAACTTTAAAGCTTCTTGTGTTGTAAATATAATTTATAAAATTTATTAGTTACAAATTGGTTTTTAAATATAACCGTTGAAAGTTCAATAAATTATTGATATAGGAAATTTTTAATTTCTAAAGAAAACTGTAATATTTAATTTCGAATAAAGTCCCACAACTCTGTTAGAAATACAATTTAATCGCCAAAAAATCAAAAAAAAAAATTGTCGCTGTGGAAATTTTGAAATTTCTAGTATTTGAAATCCTATTTGTAACAAAATCCCATAAATTATATTTGTAACGAAAGCAGTTTTAAAATTATTATCGATTTATTTAACAATCAACCTGCACGAAAATTTTATTTCTTTTAGAACTGTATCAATTTGTATAACTTGTTATAACCGACAACAATTAATAGTGGAAAAAAAAATAAAATATCTAATATGTACTACAAATTAATTAAGATATTTAAAATTATTTTAACATTTAAATATTGTCGCGCGATTGAAAACACATTGTGACATCATTTAGTGCAAGCGAGACACCATCTGCTTCTAACTCTTGTTGCTTACTATGCTTTCACCGTCGGGTTGTCCTGTTCCTGTCATTCAACTTCTCATTCTTGATCACAGCAATTAGTGTGGCACACGTTTAAATCTTTAATAATCAATTATTAACTGACAACCCCTAAAAGATTTCCAATATGCATTTTGACTACATACTTATTTAAGGTTATAAGCTACTTTTAGATAACTAAAAAATATATATACAGTAGAATCTCTATAATCCGGCACGTCCAGTAATTCGGCATTATTTTTTCCACGTTTGTCTACTATCCTCGAAGAATACAGTAAAATCATTACAATATGCATGTTATCCAAACACCCTGTATATATATTTTTGTACTATGTGTAAGTATATTATTTTATAACAATTATTAACTTATAAATGTCTATTTATTATTATGCTGACAATAGAAAATCTGCTGAGTTGCTCGCTGATAATAAATCATATAAAAACCCAACCAGCCGCTCAGGAGGACGACTATAGATTCACTTTTCATGGTGTTAGTTGTAATTAGGCAATAAGTGTTTTCCTCAATTACATGTTATAATTCAAGTTATCTACGGTTAAGTGTTGCTGAAATTCATGGGATTAGAACTGCTAGGGGTTGGTCAATTAGCCACAACTTCCCTGTAGAGAACAAACCAATAAGTTACATATACAGGTTCGGAAAGTTCCCATGGTACATCGGCCGTTACGTGAGAGCGACAAAGTAAAGTAAAGAAATCCATGCGATAGACAAGGATGGCTATAGTGAAGACGTTTCATAATCAGAATAGGCACCGCCCATTTCGGGTTAGAACTATTCAGATTATGAAACGTCTTCAATGTAACCATCCTTGTCCATCGCACGGATTTCTATGACTTACTTTATCGCTCTCACGTAACGGCCGATGAACCATGGGGACTTTCCGAACCTGTAAATGTACCGATCTCTTTGTTAATAAACAATTAAAAGTAATGTTTTTTAATTTTTTCTCTAAATCTTGGTGTTGCAGAATGTTGTGTTTTAAGGTAGTTATCGCCTAAATGAACACTCAGTATAATTAATTGTGCACCTGACGATACTTTTGCAAAATTTCAACGCATTTTACCACATTGTTTCCGAGTTATGCTCAATCAAAGTCGACTACGCTTAGCATAGGTTTAATGGCACTGCCTTGAAAAATGTCGTTACAATGAAAACATGTGACTAAATAACCCATTCGAGTAACTGCTCAAATTTTAGGCGCCACTAATTTGTGTGGAAATATGTTTATATGTAATGATCTGGAAAGGTCTGACCGGCTAGGATTAAAAACATTAATATTCAAACTTTTAAGTTTTCCGAAAATTATTATTCACATAAATGAAACGCGTCAATGTCACGCATTGAGGAAATGTTAGTTTGCTCGTGCGCCGACCTACAAAATTTTGAACTGAATCCATTTTAGTTTCAGGTTGCGTTTTTCGTTTTAAAGGATTTACAGTTTTTATGTTTTTACGGAAATCGCCAACATGCAAATAAAGTTTTGCGTTTCAAACAAAATTACTGGACACGTAGCTTCAAATCATTTATGAAAGCTCTGTATGTAGTAATACCGGCTGAAGGACTTAACTTGATGAACATTTTGTGTATCAAATAAAATACATCTATTTGTACTATTTTTCCAAGTCCATGTTTGCTTGATTTAAAAAAAAACTTGTTGGTATGAATATTCCGATTCTGTTTACAAATAAAACCTAAATCAAATCTTTTTTTTTATTACGACAACATCACAATATAAAATTGAAACATCGAAAACTACAAAAGGGAAGTTTCCATCACAATCCGAGTCTGCTCCCTATTCTCCGTCTTTTGTTTTTTAATACCGCTCTCCTCGACCCCGCTGTCACTTTTCCTTTTCTCGGGTGCTTCTACACTCTTGAAAATACTGTTCTTGAATTCTTCATACTTCTCAGTATTAGACAAAAGACTGCCGCTTTGGATCACATCACACGTTTCCGGCTTATGGTCAGTCTCGTTACTGTTCGATGCGATTATGATCTTTTTCACGACTTGGGCATCATGATAGTCGTTCATCCGAGCCTGGGCGCTGCTGGATGTGTCGCATTTCAGGATCTCACGAAGGACCATTGTTGCGTAAGAGGATGGCTCTAAATCGAATTCCATCACCAAGGCTTTATATTTTCCCTCTTAAAAAAAAAAAATAATAATACTGTATAGATGGATGGATCAATTAGGAGTGACAAATCAGGCTCGATTTTTGTGTACAGTGTACAGAACACTGGTTTTAATATATTTCCTATTTGAAAGGTGAAACAATAATTACAAAAAGGTTTACCACAATATCGCGTCCAAGACCAGAAGGGAACTCCCAAATCCCCTCTATGTCTTGAGCATCGAACCCTATAGTACCATTTTTTGCTGTGCCTGTTAGGTCCCTCCTTCCAAGTGGTTGACTTCTACATTGTTTTAATTATTATTATTATTATTATTATTATTATTATTATCAACCACTCAGCAACAGTGGAGTGTGTACAGGAAGTAGCTGTTTGTTGAACTTTATACTAAGGCAACAATTTTGTCAATTAAGACTTTTTATATCATGTTCTAGAAAAAGTGTGTACATAAATTATTATTAAATTTAAAATAATTTTAAATAAAGACTGGGTTGTTGCTCTTTTTATATTTAACTTACAGGGTATTAAAGTTAATATAAAAAAAACCTTTTTCTTCAAATATCCCAAAAAGACCATTTTGATAAAACTCGGCACATTTTTAGTAATAGGTAAGGGGTTTAATTTGATGCATTTTGATTTAATTAATCCAGGTACGTCCCTAAAGAAAAATTTGAGCAGGCCGTTACCGTTTTATTAAGTTTGATATTATTTTTAGATTAATTCAGAATACAATTTTTTTGTCTACTTTGCTTAATTAAAAAGGAATTAAATTCGTTTATCGTTCGTATATATTCGTGACTGAATTTTCTTTTAAATTTCTATTTAGGATGACAGCATAGGGCCGCCCCTGAAATAATTACATCTAAGTAATTGTAAATGCATCAAATTAAGCCATCTACTTATTACTAACAACATGCCTAAGTTTTATCAGAATCGGCCAAGTAATTTTTGAGATATTTGAAAAAAAAATGTTTTTCTATTATCTTTAACACATGTATGTATCTCGAAGACAAAGCCTTAAAGCAGACAAGTTCATATAACTTTTCTTTTTATTTTTACAAGTTTTATCACCTATTTAATTTTCCTGTTTAATTTTGAGAGACACTGCATAAACATATGGGTCCACAAATCAATAGTTAGACATAGAAATATGAAACTTTTGCTAGAAATACAATTTGAAATACAAACTAATCATGAAAAAATCAATGTCAAAAATGTGCCAATTATTTTCTCAAACTTCCTGAATACGTTGTATTTAAAATCGTATATTTTGGAAATAAAATCAAATGAATTATTTTAATGAAACGAGTAGTTCTAAAATTATGTTAGGTTTAATAGGCCAACCAATAGACATTTTTTGGCACAATTAATTATTACAGCAAATTTCATGTATTATACCTTTTGAAAAATAGTTAGTAAATGAAAATCCAAAGGATTCCCAGCAAAGTCGTGAACAATTTTTTCTTTTAACAATAAAAACTGCAAAAACATGACATTCTTTTGGTTTTTTTTATATCTTGAAAAATAATGATGGAATCAATAGGACTTCTGTAGACAATAAAAAAACCTATAAAATGGTTTTTTGTGCGACCCAATTGGTTCATTTTTTATTGAGAAAATCCGGAAAAGCCTCTAAAATAGACCTTTTTTTCAAAAATTTATAGCTCCGTTGTTGAAGTTGGAAATTTGGGTCCTTTTTTGCACAGCATGACGATTTATCAAAAATGGTCCGATTTAAATTCTGAAAACGGCATCTGAAAGTAGACGACAAAATCTCCAACGTATATCTCGGATTTTCGCTTGGGTGATGGGAAATATGCTAAAAACCTTAAAAGTCGCCCGAAACCATGGAAAGTATACTCGAGCCAAAGTCGGGTAGCGGTAGTGGGGAAAGCAGCGAGCAGAGGAGAGTATATGCCGCTGGGCCGCTATTTGGTGATTCAGTAGATTGTCCACGAAAAAGTTAAGTAATCAATTTTTGGTCTTTAAGTTACAGGTCTTCAAAGTTGTCAAAAATAAAATTAATTTAATTAATAACCTCATAACCTTTTTACCGATCGCGTTAAAATTTGGCACATTTATTTCGACTATTATGGCTTATTATTTCTTAAATCTTTAATCAAATCTATATACTGGGTGATAGTTTTCTGCGGTTACTTCTTCCTTTTAGTGGTCAAAACTTTTACAGTAGTCGTATTTTTTTAAAACGGACAGCAATATTGTCATTTTATTCTCGTGTTCCTTTAGGATGCAAACTATGAAGTGTCCGCAGTGTATCAAGACAACTAAATGTAATGTGAAACTAATGTTCACAAAACTTTAAAAAAGCAACTTCTTCAGCCATTTCATTTAAGTCCCACTCAAAGACTTGAAAGGAACGGAGTTGTAAATTTTCATAATTTGCATGTGTGGAGTGATGAGAATCCTAAAGAAACACGACAATAATCGCATTACACCTGATAGCCACAGAAATCAACATCTTGTTTTCATCGCCTACTGTACTCAAAGTTTTAAATCCGTGACACTGCTATGCAAATTGAAACGTACAGACCTGCAAATAATGCAATTTTTCTCAAGAATGGCTTTCTGTAGGCGATTTTCCCAAGAGACAATATTTTTTTTAAATGAAACGACCTTTTCAATGTTGCTGCCCGTTTTAAAAAAATACGACCACTGTAAAAGTTTTGACCGCTAAAAGGGAGAGGCAACCGGAGAAAACTATCACCCACTAAAGCTTTAAGAAATAATACGCCATAATAGTCCAAATAAATGTGCAAAATTTTAACGCAATAGGTAAAAGCGTTATGAAGTTATCAATTAAATTAGTTTTATTTTTGAGACAACTTTGAAGGCTTGTAACTCAAAAACCAAAAGTTTTTTATTAAACTTTTTTTTTCGTAGATGATATTTATTTATCGTCTTGAATATGCAGTCAACCGTTGTTGGTGAAATTTGCGGAAAAATATAGCGTACCTACACCACCGAATTCTACACAAAAATTTAATAAAACATTCGAAATTTCAAAACCCACATAGAATTTAATGATGAGAAAATTTCAAACAAAATTTGCTAATTTAAAAATCAAAATAGGGACGGATAGTCAACCTTGAGACCTCGAAAAATATTCCATTTTTTTATTTTTCACAAAATTAAATTGTCTACATTTTAATATGATCTAAAATTCCAGTTTTCAAATTTCATAATTAATTTTATGAAAATTATCTATTAAAAAAATATATGATCATGGAAAAAAGAATTTTAAATACATAAGTGTTTAAGATATTAAGGTTGACCACCACTATTTAATTTTTTTTGCAAATTTTGTTCGAAAAACTAGAACAAGTTTAATTGTTATGAGCTGCATTAGTTTTGTCTGTCTCCATGGAAAATATGAGTGTGTTGAAGTCAGCTCTTCCTATACAATTAAAACAGAAATAAAAATATTCCTCACCATTAACATCTGCGGGTTCAGGGTCACCCCTTAACTCCTCAAAGTCGGACCTTATTAAATTATCCGTTGGATCATTGTAATGTAGTATCTTCCAAGAAACATTCTTCACACGTCCCAAAATCTTCCTGTAGTTTCCACACAATGTGTACATCCTGAATGGATAGACTTTTATCAACAAATTACAATTTAGAATTATTATTAAAATTCAAGAATAAAGTGAACATCTAAAATCTTACTTTACTTTCTGCCTGGTCATATCTAAGGTGAGGCCGTACTTCTCTAATTCTTCCTTATAATATTGTTTCATGTTTTCTGGATATTTTATATCATACCCAGGTAAAGGCAGTACGATATCATATATCGTGAAATTTTCTATTTCCTCAGCAGAGATCGACTTTACTATTTGTTCACATTTAATGTATTCTTCCCCATTTTTGCCTATAAAAATATTTAAGGTTCGGCAAAATGATTGGAGTATTACTGAATTTAAGTTTAGTTTCTCCAATAAAAATCCTGCCAGATCCAACACTGACTAAGAGATTTATTACTGACGAGTGAAAATGACATCACTTTTTTTTAAATAAAAAACTAAGAAAAACTAACAAATTGAATAGAACATACATAGAAGGTGCAATATATGTCAAAAATTAAAAATATTTTCTTATACAGCTTGTAATTAAAATGCTTTGCCAAATTTTAATTGTGTATTCTACAATACTAATTCAGGAAAAAAAAATTTTTGAGGAAAATGTGACTAGGATTTCTCAAATCTACTCCATTAGTTTAAATTGAGATTTAATATTTTCACATCCAATTCTATTTTATTAAAACAAAATATTACATTTGGATGAGGAAAACGCTCCTCCATTTTTGACATATTTTACGCCATGTATATTTAATGCATCTCAATAAGGTGATATGAACTTTAGGAAAACTTACCGTCAATATTTTCAGGAACTTCAAACGGATCGTCCTCGATTTCATCTTTATTTGCATTTAATAAAATAAAATCACCTTCCACTGGCTTTAATCCGTAGACTTGCAGTCGTTTGGAAACCATCTTATTCCAAACTAAACTTTGGAAAGAATGAATATAAAGCAGCCTCATATTTCTTGGAATCTACAAATTTAGCAACCTATTATGCCTGGTCTAAATCTACAATCAATGGTCACATATGAAACTGCCCGATGGAGAAACAAAACCCATTAATGCAATGTTTTTTGCTTTCTCATGAAGAAAAATTTAAGGGCAAAAGTAGATTGCCTGCATCAGAAAACATTCATTCGGTTTCAGTATTTCAAATAATATATTCCAAAGTAGAGCAGCTATAGGAATTTTTGCAGGCTACATATTTCTCAATTTAAGAAGTAAAAGATGTTTAAGGATGACATCTTCTAAATGGAACCTACATATTTTGAGGGAATTGAACATAAAATTATATATAACATTGGATTTCGATCTTTTAAGAATGATGCTAACTGATTTCTAAATTTTAACTGAAAATGTCTAGGAAAAAGTATTATTTCAAATAGTCAAGGTTATGCAAATTTTAATAATTAATAATTAAAAACGAATGTGTAATTAAAAAAAAAATTATTTTGTATAGCTAATAATTGTATATATAAAATTACAGATAATTCAATTTGCAATAAATCGCCCATGCTGGCAACATTGATAATTTTTATACTTTTTAGTGAGCCAAAACAACAAATAGTTTCCCAAAAGAAAAGTTATCATAACTGAATATATTAAACAGTTTTTAACAAATGATTTCAACTTACATTTTCTAAAGCATTAACAAAATCATTTTCATGTCCTTTTTTTAGACCCTGCAGAAGCCGAGACTCTACGCATTTATTTCTACTATTCTCCAACACTTCATATGCTCTGGTGGCATCTTCAGTTTCGAAATAAATTTTCTTTGCCTTTGATACGTCGTCCAAAGGATCATCAGATGTTTTTGGTTTCAAAATTAGTTGTGCAGCCTGAAATGGATAAAAAATTACCTAATTCAACTATTGTAAGGTATAATTTAATATTTCACCTCTTTCCATTTCCCTAAAAGAAGATTAATTCCAATATCAAATGTAGGCACTTCTTTATCATTCCCAAACCTTTGTAAACCGTAATAGTTAATAAAACCGTTCTCCTCAACGTGCTTCATTGACTGATTTATTAATTCATCATTTCCTGTTACATTTCTTAAAGCAATCCTAAACTTGTTACCTTGTAACTGTCCTAGTTTTAGAGGTACATCTTTAAATGTAAAATTTCCTACTTTTATATTTCTGATGGGTCTTGTTTTCTTCATCAATTTCCATGGTTCCACTTTATGAATACAGAACCACTGAGTAGTTTTTGCTCTTTTGTCTTTTACGCCAGCATATGTGAAATTAGCAGGAGACATTTTCAGACAGTCGCCGATTTTTAAGCAAGCTTCCATGGTGTCTATAGCTTCTTTATATACCAAAAAATATACATATTCTCCTTTATCATCGGGCCACTGAAACCTAATATCACTTTTCTCTGCAAAAATAATTTTGTTTTTATCCTTTTTTTACTATTTATTCTTATTTTTTATCATTTACCTCCTTTAACAAATTTTTTAAACTGCAAATATTTTTTATCATCTATCGTCACTGTAGAAGCAATTACTTTTTGTCCAAAATATTTTTTAATGCATTTATGAATTTCTGTCCTTTCCGTTTTTCCAAAATTATCTGCTCCTAAAGTCACCACTTCAGAATTTTTAGAGCTTACAAGGCTCTTGAGAGCATCCCATTTTTCTTGGGGTATATTTTCTAGAGGAGTAACTGTAATATTATCATAATCCATCTTCTCAACTTTTGAAGTAAAATCTTTAGGAGCACTAGTATTAGTTAATTTAGCTACTGCACCTTCTAAATTAATTTCGTTGACCTGGAAATCTGAAAATCTCGCTTTTATAATACCAGAGAACCCTTCCAAATTACTGATAAATTCTGATATCCCAACCTCAACTTCTATAAGTTGATCTTGATGTATGTATTCTTTTTTTCTTGGTGGGCCTCTATTTTGAAATTTGGACCCCTTATTTCTTTTAGTATAAAATTGTTCACGTCTTGGAGGCATTTTTAACCAGTAACCTAAAAAATCTCTATATATTCGTCAATCGTCATTCGTCTGCGACCATAGAAAATATGGTACTAACGACTAACGAGTAACGTTAGTACTATATTTTCTGTGGTCTGCGACATACATAGACCTATACAGGCATAGATTAAGTACAGTACAAATCATATATTTGGTTTTATACAAGGATATTTATAATTATAAATATCCTTGGGTTTTATAAATACATATATGGTACAAATATACAGGGCCGGAAAGTCCCCATGGTTCATCGGCCGTTACGTGGAGCGATAAAGTAAGTCATAGAAATCCGTGCGATAGAGAAAGATGGCTATAATGAAGGCGTTTAATAGTCACCGCCCATTTCGCCCTTCCACAAATAAGAAGTGGATTTTATCGGTACAACATAGTTTAAGCATAAGCACGTATAAGCACAAAGCACATATTATATGTGGTATAAGAAGGAAGATAGTAAGGACAGCGGGCTATGGCGGGCTATTTTAAGAATGAAATCCGGGAACCGAGAAATTTGACCTTGCTGTTTTAAGTGAAGATAGCATCACTCTATTTCAGAGTGATGCTAGTATCACATTACTGTGCAGATTCTACCAGCGTACAAATATCAGTGTACGCTGATTCTACTGATTCTAGTCAACGTTTATATCTCTGTAATCGTGTAATCTATGGTTTATAGGTCTCTTTATAAACATAAAGGGATTTTTGGCGAGAAAACCGTTAACCCGGTTAACTATAGTTTGTTGAGGTTTGACGTTTTGGCGAGAAATGTAGTTAACCCGGTTTGGCAGAGTTTGCCTAACCATCAAACCGGACTTGTGGGTTGGTTTGGATATTAAGTTAATATTTCTATCTTTGTTTATTTATTTTCTGTTTCGTACCATCGTACCTAGTCACTACTTCGTTTTTTTAGAGGTTTGGATAGGTATAAGTTGTAAATAAAAAAAATTGATAATGGATTAACTTTGCAAAAAATACAAAGTAAATATTTAAAATTGATAATAAAAAAATAGTAATCGAGGATCCAAATAACTTTAATCGTAGATATGCATATTCTATATTGTACTGTATAGATCTTTATTAACTTCCTTTTTGACGATACATTTACGTGGGAATAGATATTTGTGAAAAGGTAAACCCATTTTGATTTAATAACCATCTATACATTAACGTTATTTCATGGATGTGCATTTCAGATTAGGAATAACAATTATAGTATATAAGAAATAATCAAACAACTTGAGCTACGAGCACTATCATAGATTATAGGTTACGATTTTATTATTGATTAGATATCCAAACCAAAAGAATTTTTGCGAGTTCTGTCAAATGTTAACTCANATATTAATATTTTTTAGGTTAGCTTGGTTTGACGTTTGACTTTTTTACCGCTCGGCGCTCACCGTTCTTGGTTCCTTTCAACCAATCAAAACCCGTAAAGTAAACGCATGCGTATGAATACGCTGGTACGTCGCCCCACTTTTCGGCTTCAAGTCAATTGCAAAATGATCAGTATAGGATAGAAGTATGTGGTTATTCCAGCCGCAGCATTAGGGTTCGCTGCACGAGCTCATCCCTTCTATAAGCAGGGTTGCCGTTTTGCCAGTAATTACTGGCATTTGCCAGGAATAAAGAGTCCTGCCAGTAAATTTGCCAGGATTGACTTAACGTCAGAAATTTGCCAGGGGAGCAACATTTTCAGGGATGTCGATTTGCAAATAACCCCCAACATTTGCATTATTGCATTTGTTATTAAAAGATCATAAATAAGCATCACAGAGCACAGAGATTACTTTAATCAGTTTTAAGAATTTCGATTCACGATATCACCGCTAGATGACGATGTATCATGCTTCTTTACTATTATATTTTGTCACACTTGGCACTCGGCAGCGATCCTTGTTTAATGTTTAATATTACAGGTTACAGAGTGATAGTGATAGCTATTTATACACTGACGGGATACGACGGTTAAGACAAAGGTAATAATCACCAAAATAATAGATTAAACTATTAAATTGCCAGGAATTGCAAGTAATAATATAATTAAGTTTTGCCAGGAAATGTCAGGAATGCAATCAAGTTTCGTCAGTAATTTCGTGTCGACCTAGTGGCAACCCTGAAATTATTATTTCTTTTTTATTTTTATATAAACAAAGATATAGCAGCGGCCATCCATAATAATAGTTTTCAAGTGTAAAAGTAAATGTAACAATGTTAATAAACCAAATATTTACCATTCACAGATCGTGCCACAAATGACGTTTTTAAATTTAAACAAGTACGTATGATTTTGAAAATGGTGGATTTATTAATAATAAATGTTATAAATAATAGCAACAGCCAATTATATGTATTTCTTTTTAGAGAATAAGTAATTCTCACTTATGGTCAGCAATTTATAAAATATTTGTTGCATTTCATGTATAATTGCAAAATTTTTGACATCCTTTTAGAATTTTTGGTTAAGATTCAATTTCATAAACATGCTACATTAAATTAAAAGGGGCATTAAGTTATTGTTATAACAATTTGTTTTGAAGGTAAATAACAATTTATTTTATGAATTAAAAGTGATGTAAACCTATGTATATTAAAATATCTACTTATTATCCAATTTGTACGCCGACTGTTTTTCAAAAGAGGTTATGTTATGGCATCTGTATTATCTATGATAGCATTGTTTGTTTGATGGATTAATAATTAATTAATGGGCGAGTTCGGCATTGGTGTCAGAGCGCCAAATTTAATAATGTACGTTCGGCATTCCACTCTCTGAGAGCTTTGACTAGAATCTGACGTGTTCGGCTTTATGTTCAAAGATAAAATTGAGATCCTCAATTCGCTCAGATTATAAATAGCGATTTTTCAGATATTTACGTCATCCTTGTTTGGAGGTTATGTCGTTATTAGTACATACGAGTAAAAACAATAAGTCAGGGCTCCAGCCAGAGCCGTAAAGAAAATATGAGTAACGTTATGTATAAATGTTTCTTTTGCAATTTTGTTAGTGATAATTATTCTGTAATATCGGAACATTTGGAGAGTAATCATAATGTACCAGAAGAACCGCAGTGCCAAACTCGTAAGTACCTACTTATAAGGTTAGTATTGTTTTCTAAAAACCTTTTTTTGTAGTGAAAAACATTCAAATACAGCCTGAGGATAGCTCTGTAGATGAAAGTCTTAAACCCTTACCAAACAATACTGAACAAGAATCAGACACAGAGTTCCAGAAAAATGATTTCATAAGATGGTCTCCCCAAGATACCCTGCTTTTAATTCGGTTGGTGGAAGCTAACTATGACAAATTTAATTCACAGCTTAAAAAAAATGTCTGGAGGTCAATTTCTAATGAACTGTCCAAGACAACAGGAAAAAAATTTGATGGCAGTCAGTGTGATTCCAAATGGAAAAGTTTAAAACTTATGTATAAGAAAATTTTAGATCATAATATGAAACACACTGGAAATGATAGAAAGGACTGGGAATACTTTGAAGCAATCCACACATTTCTGTTTAAAAAACCAGAGATAAATCCAGCAGCTACATGCAGTAGTTCATCTGGATTAAAAATCACTGAAAACACGGAATTGAAGGAAAATAAAAGACCAACAGATGTTGATACTTTTGAGTCTACTTTTAAGAGAAAAAGGACACAAGTAAGTAGTGGCAATTCAACGGCAGAGAAGAGGCACCAGGAGAGAATGGTGCGACAGGATCAATTCCTAGGTTTATTTAAGGAACTAGTGGAAGCAATAAGAAAAGATAAAAATGATTAAGGAGAATCATAGACTTAGATATATGAAAATACATGTTTTCCGTTTTAAATAAAAATTTTGTGTAGCTGTCATTTTATTTTAATAACGGGTGTCAGGCTCACAGAGGCTGCATAAATTATGTTGACTATAATAGGTTTTATCAAATGTAGTTACAAAATGAGTTAAGTTTATAATACAATTTACGAGTTGAATAAAGTTATTTGCTTAAAAGTTCTTTTTTATATTAAGATTTAATAGATATAAAAAATTAGGAAATATTTTTGTAGGGTTCCTATGTACAAAAATAAATTTTTCTAATTTATAAATTGAAAGTGACTTCCAAACCTTTTGACTTAGAAATCTATTTTAAAAAATCATACTCGAGATCAAAATTAGAAAAAATACTGTATGAAACAAGGGAAGTACTATTTTGCGAAACTCGCTATGCTTGTTACACAAAATAGTATTTTTCCCAACTGGTTACATAAATAGCTATTAGTGGCACTTATAGGAATTATATGAAAATAAGCTGTTCAAGATTTTAATTAAAAAACATGTTTAACAAAATATTTCAAAACCGATTAAAGATGACGCGCGATTCTGTCACGTTTCATTCTAGCAGCCGCTTCCTCGGGATAATTTTGATAATCTTCATCATTCATTACACGTTCTTCCAAAACTTCATTTTCCAAATTAACATAATCCTGATTAACATCTTTGTTAAGTATACATATGTTGTGTAATATGCAGGTACTTATTATAATCAATGGTATTAATTCTACTCTTATTGTTTCTAACAATTTTAGCCTTCTAAATCTACCCTTTAGAAGTGCAAATGATTGTTCTATGGCTACCCTTGAGGTAGAGTGTGCTTTATTATACAATATTTGTTGCCTGGTTAAATGACCATTATCTTTAAATGGTACCATTATCTTACATGTCAATTTATATGCGGCATCTCCTAACAAATGTCCTTGTTGAGGAAAGTTAAGATTTGCGAGTCTTTCTGATAAATCAGACCTTCTAAAAAGCATCCAATCGTGAATCGAACCGGCTTCACCAGCATAACAATCAATAAATTTCATACTAGTATCACAAACACACTGCAAGAGTACAGAATGAAATCCCTTGCGATTAATATATGAACCTTGTTCATTTCGTGGTGCCTTAATTGGTATATGAGATGCATCTATAAGTCCAACAATTCCTAAAAAATTTTGCAGTGTAGTTTATTAATGTTAATATTCTACTTGGTATCTACTACCTGGAAAATTTGCCTTTCGTCGAAACATGTTCATATTTCTGATAGCTTGCCTTTCATTTGGCCAACTGATAATTAAGAAAATTCGATTTATTTTGACTAACTTTAAACATGTTCTGTAAAATGCTGACCAAGCAGATGATTTACTGATCCCAAATCTATCAGCTACAGACCTAAAACAAAAAGTTTTCCAATGTTCAGTGAAAAGTACACAATTTCGACAAACCTTTTTAATTACATATTCAATTTTTCATTACTTACCGGAAACTTTCCAAATTGGCCAAGTACCAAATTGTAAGTAAAACTTGTTTCTCAAAACTTAATTCTGGATTGCCACTTTGGCATTTTCGGGATGTAACAACTGACAGCTTCAGTAAGAGGTTTTCAAAAGTATTAGGATGCATTCTAAAATGAAACTTAAACTGATGGTCTCTCATCCGCGGAATTATTTCTTCCGAATATAAATCAACCTTTTCTAAAATTTCTATTTCTTCTTCACTATCAGGTTCAAAAAATATTTCATGGCCAATAGCAATGCCTATAATTCCTACGTTAATAGCACAATCGGCCATTGAAACATGTAAACAAAACTAGTCAACAGAGTCAACTGCGTTCGGCAAATTTCTGAGAAGAAAAGCGTTGAAAAAGTCATGTGACCAATAATCTGCTGACTCTGCACTATCAATTGATAACAATGCCGAACTTACCCAATATTAATACTACAGAATTTAATAATTCTATACTGTGATACTGTGCCATGGGTAATACTACGATGACCATATTTTTTGACTACAATAACAATAGTAAACTCAAACATATAGTATAGAATGAATTCTAAAACTTCATTTAGTANAAACCAAAAGAATTTTTGCGAGTTCTGTCAAATGTTAACTCAAACTCTTAACACAATCAAACTCGAGCTAACCGGGTTTGATGCGGTTTGGCTCGCCAAAAAACTTATAGTCTAAAACTTCATTTAATAAGTAATTTTGGCAGATGTTTATCAAAAAAAAGGAATACTTTTAGCATTTTAATAATAATTATTATTTATGGTATTTGTTTCTAACATTTTCAAATGTTGACAAAATTAAATGTGATAAAAAATTTGACTGATTTTTTTAATTCTTCATCATTACTTTGGCAAGTAGTTAGTATTCAGTGACAAAATCCATACATTTTTTTAATGCAAACCCTATATATGTTTGTCTTTTTAGGTTTTATCAAATTTATGAGGATATGAGGAAAACTTCACGGACACAAGGGGAAAGCTACACAATACAATGTTTACAATCCTTGGATGTTTGTCATATCAGCAATACATTGTCTGAAAAATTTAGTACAGTAACTGGAAATTTTGCCAAAATTTGGTGGTACGCATAGTAATAACCTGGAAACTGGTTCAAGATCTACAGAGTAAGCATAGTATTTCCTTGCTTTATATATTTTCGAAAAATGTCTTATTGCAAGTATGAATTTACTCATAGAAATTGTGCGTTTAGGATTTGAATTTGAAATTCTGACTTCAAGTAGGAAGTTTGAAAAAAATTAATTGAGAAATTTTTATTTCGTAGCCGTTACTAGCCGTCAGACAGTTTCGTAATGACTCCTAGGCTTAGAGAGGAGAAAGGTGCCAACACCTCATCTAGCATTCCATTCAAGTCGTACAGCTGAAGGCGCCATTCGTACAGACCCACATGGGCTTTCGGAGTTTCTGCAAGCCATCTTGAAAGAGGTTCTCTCACTGGCTGCGATGCAGACAGGGATGGCAATACATCATGTCGTTTGTTGAGCATATCAAGAAAAAGGTGATGGTAGGAAATATTTATTTTAACTTAAAAATTTACATTGAGCTACCACTTACGACACTATGGTAGATGTACAGGGTGTCCCTCCCTAAAAAGGATGGACAACGCTTGACCACAGGTTCCTTGGATGAAAATAAGACTATTTAGCCTAACTTACCTATATACAAAAGTGCACGCCTACTGAGATATAGCCTTCTAAATATAGAATAGATAACCTATTTTTTTCAAATAATTTGAAAACTATTTTTCTTAGAAACTTCAAATTTGGTACACTTATTTTTTTATATAAGGGCAAGGTAAATATAGAATTTGGAGAGAATACATATACAGGATGTTCTATTTCTAGTGCCTGTGCGCCACTGGCTATCCCGTAACTTTTTTGTGTGTATGCCAATGACGACAGAATTTATATTTTTAAAAATAAGCACTATTTTAGAAGATTTTTTTGCTCTTACAAAATTTCGATATCGTTTATGGATTTCGAGTAAAATTCGCATTTTTTATACATTAAATATAGGCAAAAATTCCGATTTATAAAAAATAATTTATAACTGCAGCCTCAAAGCAGGGAATAATAATGAAAAAACGTCACATTAAAAAAAATAACTACACATTTTTGGTATTAGTATTATCAATCAATAAAATAAAAATCAACACTAATATTTTAAATAAACAATATCAACTAATAATGTAAGAAAGTCAACATTAACATTTTAAATAAACTGATATTTGTAATCACATTAAAATAATATTACAGTAAATGCTCAAAGTTACTTTCTTGTTCTTAAACGCAAACATTAGTTCTTCGAAAATTAGAAATTATCCAATAATTGTGCATTACCTCTCATAACATTAATTTCATGTTGTATTCTTTCCCATATTCGTTTTTTGTATTTACTGAAAAGTTATTTTAAACTGTGGTCCTCAACGCTCCCCAAATGAAATAATCACATGGGTTTAGATCCGGGGATCGAGGTGGCCATTTTAAAGGGGCATTATTTCCTCTACCTATCCACCTGTTAAACCTTTAATAACCTGTAATACCTACCTGTACCCTGTAATACTTGTAATCTGTAATAACTGGTCTTTTAATACTCTATTAAAGGAACTTTTTGAAAGCCAACCTCTGCCGCTAACGCCTTTTATTTACTTGAGGAATTTCTTCGACCCTTTCCCAAATTTGTTCCTCCAGCTGAATAATTCCGGCCATACATTATCCACGATTTAATAAAAAAGAAGCAAATGATAAGAAAAAATTAGCTTAATCTTGAATATCGTATTTCTTTAATTGGAGAAGTTCCAAGAAGTTGGTAAAAAACGTCCTGTTTCCCGAAGGCCTCTCCCGCATTAGCAAATGTTTTGTGATTTGGAGTTCTTCGATTAGGAAATCTTCCTTCACAATAACCCAAAACTATTAACATATCAGTTTGTTCAGCAAAAATATGAATTGCAATAAAAAACAAAGTAAGCTAAAATTGAATCACAGCTAGCTTGACACAGAACCTTTTAATTATTGTTATGAATTTGTTTCTCTGTTATATAGCACTTCGTACTAGAATGTTCTATTTATCTTAAACTGATTTTATATTATTTACACGGCGTCCTGGGTAAGTGGCGACAAACGGCCGGTGCGACCGGAACGGCCGAAGCAGTGATTTTCAAAATTAGAGCATCATAGGTTCTGTCCTATGTACGAGGTACCGCCGGGCACAAGCGGCTTGTGCGGTTTTCATGCGGACAACGCGACCAAATTATTTGATAATTCCGCCTCTGCCGCTTCAGTTTACATTTTTAAATCTTAAAAATTATATGAGAATTATATAATCGACTATTCGAGAAAATGGACCTGCACTCTTAACAGAAATAGACGTTAGCATCACGTCGGCCATTTCAACCGCGTCGAACGCGCCGGCCACACCGGCCGTTTGTCGCCGCTCACCCAGGACGCCGTGTAAATGTGTAAAAAATGCCAATTTTACTCGAAATCAATAAACGATATCAAAATTTTGTAAGAGGCAAAGAATCTTCTAAAATAGTGCTTATTTTTAAAAATATA